ACGACTCCTAAATAAAAATAGTACCTCTTTGTTAAGCTGAAGCAAACAGAAATACAGGTATGAACCCCAGGAGGCCTTATAAATGTTAATATTAATCCAAAGTAAGTGAACGCGTGTAGACAGAGGGCGGGGGGGGAGTGGGGAGGGGGTCTAAAATCCGAAAAATTGTTGTAAGTCATAAATGGATGACGCCTTACAGACTGATAAATTATATCTAAACTACCACTCACACATCTCCCCCATAACTTTTGTTACGACTGCCTGCATGCAAACTCAAACCAGGAAAAAATTGCGGGTAAAATCGAGAGCCTAACAATTCTGAGGGCGATCATTCTTTTATTAAATGACAATTGTAAGTACTTGTAACACATTCACACGGTCAGTCGTGCCACAAAATATCTCTTCCCTCCCTTCCCCTCTTCTTCCAATGACGTAGTAACCGAGCATGTTTTCTGCGAACCAGCGAAAAAACGTCACAACATAGTGTAAACCCGCGCTATAGCGCGGGAAAAAAATTGGAGTAAATTCACTTAAAAATAGCAATTTTTTAAGTTGGAAAATATGGACTACGAAGTTTTGTTTCTAAAACTAGATTCCAGACTTTTAAAAAATCCTGCCCAAAAACTAGCGATTTTCCAGACTTTTTTAAGTCTTAAATTCACTTTTCTAAATTCAAGACTTTTTCCAGACTGCGTACGAACCCTGCAGTAGGTAAGTGATCAGACACATTAATACCACTGCTCACCCCCTCACAATTTCTCACCCCCAAGATACCCAGCCCCCTCCTGTATCTAACCCTCCATAAAACTTCATCTCTTTGTAGGTAACGTGGAATTAGTCCTTAGCTCTCAGCCAACCAGAGATAGCATCTCTTATGTAATTTATGGCCCTCAGAGTACTCAGAGTCCAGCAAGGAAAACAAAGGGGAAAGCAGTACCACTGCTCTCCCCTCAACATTTCTCACCTCCATGTCATGTTTTGTTATGGCTTATCAGGGGAAAGCATCAAGGCAGATTAGCTAGTACCTCCTCTTTTTACAACAATCTTAAGTCAAGACAGCTAGATCTACACACTAGTATATCTACACACTTTATTAGACTGTGGGTCCTATGTAGACCTGCAATTTGTGGTAAAATGTGAGACAAAAAAAGTCACGTGACCAACCGTTTTCGCGCCCTTCTCGCATTTTCCCGCCTCGCCATTTCGCGTCTCGCAATTTCCCCACACCCTCTACACAGATGTGTTATTCGCGGTTGAATGAACATTGGTAATATATGGCTCATCGGTTCCTCACGCACTATCCAGCGGTGGGGTGGGATGGAGGGGCGTGTCTAGCCTCAAGTGTTGTACCCAGTGTTGTGTTGTTGGCTATTATCATGAAGCAATAAACTTGTGTAAGCTACAATTTAAGTAGGGAAAGACATTGTATTGAAGTGAGAAGACCGGCTAACAAACAAAACTTGATCTGGTTTGATGATAGCTGTTCTGAGAATACCGCTCGATGGATAGGAAGTGTAATACTTAATAGTCATACATTCATTAACTGTTGTATACATATTTTCTGCTTACATAGAAAAAATCTGTCTAAAACTTACAACATAAATCAAAGCGTATTTTATTAGACAAATGGTTCTTCCACATATAACAAGACGTTTTTTTCTGTTTTCTATAAGAGAAAACGCACCGTGCCTTTTCCCGCTCTTCTTTTCACGTTTTCTCAACTTTGCATTTTTACTCAAAATTCAACATTCAAATCGCTAAGGCTTTGTAACCCTTTGTCATACAAGAATAAAACTTTCCATGTGCATTCAGCATTATACCATCTACAAAACTACGTTTGTACATTAAGTTTACTACAATACTTTAAGAAATATTGATATTTATGTAACACCACCCCCTAATTTTTGCACATAAATTTACGTAAAAATTTGTATTAAAAATTGAGCACAAGCTATCGCAATGAGTAAACGTAGAAATGTATAGTTTGGTTTGAGAAATCTAAATCTTTCATCAGCTTTTTAAAATCTCTTGTGGGAACAAAGCCTTAGCGATTTGAAAAGGTGTTAAGTGTTAGTTTTCACACCTTTTCGCGGTTTCCATGGCAATCAGTACTACTATTGATGGCTATATATTATTTTTGTTTAGCCTATAGTTTAACAACTATAATTAATTATATTAACTTATTAAACAACCAGAAATGTGTTAGATCTAGATAAATCTAGATCTAGACTAGATCTAGATTTAGATAAAAAAAATTTTTGGTAATCTATCGTTTTGGGTACGTAAAATCGCCCGCGATTTGTAATGTGAAAAACAGGTGACTCCTTAAATTTTAATAATTATTTCACATTTTGAGGAGGATTTATGTTTTAAAAAATTCAAAAATGTTTCCTTGATTCATTTCTGTACCTGTTTTTAAACAATTGAATTAAAACTTTTCCGTAATAAATGAAGACTAGCGATGTTTCCAACAGATGCAACCATGCTCATTTACTATAGCAGCCATCTTGTCTAAGTTTTATTTTTATAAGCTTTTAGCGCCAGATTCAGGGGGAAGCCACTCTATTTTACAAATGGCTGCTGTTTATATAGCAAATCTTGCTCTCAGACACTGCTGTTTAAAGTTAATTTCTGGCCTATATCGATATATTTAGCCATTGATTTAGGCTTATTATTCATTTATCTATAATATTTGACACAAAAGTATGACAATATACATCTATTAAAGCCTTGACAATGAGGTAACGTTTTCGTACATAAATAGCCGCGGGCGATTTTACGTACCCAAAACGATAGATTACCAAATTTTTTTATCCGTGGTGCCTATCCTTTAACTTTAACTTCATTAAGCCTTTAATTTAAAAGTAGTTTAAGGAGTCACCTTTTTTTCATATATCTAGTCTCGGCCGATTTACTTACCTAAAACGATAGATTATCACTAGATCTAGTTCTAGATCTAGAAAGTAAAACTAGAATCTTGATCTATAGTCTATATGAATGAATATAGATCTAGATCTAGTAATGTAATAATTAGTAGAAATTCTTATCTGGACTTTTTAAATTTGACTGTCAGTCTAGGCCTATCCAATGAAATCGTTGTTGCCAGATAAGATTGGAGTCCTACGATCAAATTAAAATTATGCTACTTAGGCTTATCAGTGACATTTCGAATTAACTATTTAATTATTTTTTTAATATATCAAAACACCAAAATATAAGGTCGATAACTATATTGATTAATTTAAAAGACACATATTTATAGGCCTATCTATAAATATAAACAAGCCTAAATATATGCAAATCATAAAGAAAAAGCATTTTTATATAAATACTCGACTAACCGTCATCCCTTGGATAACTGTGGGTTTCGGGGGTATCCATAAAAAACATCACGTCTGTCACTTATCGTCACAAAAAACCAGACCCCACATTCAGAAAGACGTCACACCTCAGACGTTTTTGTCTGTTAAAAACACCGATTTCGGCTGAGCATGGGTCTGACTGACCACACTATCTCTTCATATGTTGACGTCACAGGTGAACTATACACCTACCCAACTTTACTTCACCTGCCCAGTGTTCCGCCAAGTCTCAGACAACATGTTTTATTGTTTAAAAAAGAGATTTCGGCCGAGCATGGCTCTGACCACACTATCCACGTTTTATGCTGAGGACAAAGAAACAGGTGAACTCTACTTCACCTGCCATGTATCCCGCCAAGTTCCGATAGGCATCTTTATCATTCATATCTAAAAAAAAAATGAAAAAAAAATTTAACATTGACTTAATGTGTCTAGTACCCGTGCCATCCGCAACAAAGCCTATTACACTAACACCTTAGCTATCTAGGCTCGTCACGATAATGACGACCCCTAAGAAACTTGATTTACGCAATAGGCTCTAAATCTAGTTTCATTTCAAATTAAATTTTATCTTAAATTTGCCAATTCCATAGCTAAACAAACAAAGATTTATATAAAATAACGAAGGTCTGAAATAGTTTAGTATAGAAACTCATTATTATTTAGATCTAGATAGAAAGAGTTATCTAGATCCTACTACTGGTTTGGTTAAGTCGAGTTTTCTCGTAGATTTAGAACCTAGAGATAAATAAATCACTTGTATTCTTGAATAAGATGACCCGTGAAGCTAAAAAGCAAAGATGTATATAAAATATTTAAGGACTTAATTAGTTCAATAAAAAAAATTCAAACATTTATTCTGATTTTAAAATGTTTTTTTTTTTTAATTTTTAACTAATTAAATCTGGTATTACCTAGATTCTAGATCTATAAATAACTCCCTTCGACAGCTGATCTTTAGATTCTAGATCTAGAGAAATTTATTGTATACTTAAATGAAAAGGACTGGTGGAAATTGATATTAGTGTTGGACCGTAATAAAAATAGCAAACTTACGTATTGTTAAAGCTATAGCCGACAGAGAATTAGCTATATAATGCGTTAAACGTTTGAATGGGCAACAAAATCTTGTATAGAAGCCGTCATTTTTGTTATAAAAAGTAAATAAATCATGTGACATCACTATAAGTAAAGTCATTGTTCTGAACTTTTGTAATTAATGTGGTTAATCTACCAATCTATCAATAAATAAATTAACGTCTTTAAATTAATTTGTGATTAACAGTCTGTTTAAAAAAAAAAATGTCTCTACCTAATTTCGTATTGTAAAGCTCTACACATAGTGCAGATTCTCTCCTGTACAAAACGGACAAAAAAAATATATTCAAACATGTAAATAAACTTGAGTTTTAGTAGTATACTAGACTTTGGATAACTGTGGGATAACTGTAACTTAAGAACCAGGTTTGTTTTTGTCAAAACGGCTATCATAAATAGTTAAGGGTCCTGCACTGTATGCAATTTGTTTAAAAAGAACTATTTCGTCTGTAATAGATTGAGATAATTGTGAGGTCAAGGGAACTCACTCTTCTGTATTAGTATTATATTTATATTGTTATCTTGAGTGATGTCCCTTACATGTTATGTATATAAGTCTCTCGTGACTTCCGTCTCTCCCTCTCTTTCCTCATGGTGTGAATAAACTACTGTTAACCAATGTGGCTCCTCGTCAGTGTTTGCCAATCTATCACATTGGCGATGAAGGATAAATAATCCACTAGAAAGAGCACCCACCTACGCAAAAAAGAGGTTTGCTAGAGCATATTAGCTAAGTATTTCTAGAATAATGGCGCTGTATGGCCAAATAAAAGAATTTGATTCGAATGATGAAATCATTCATGATTATCTAGATAGGTTAAGCTTTTACCTTGAAGCTAACGACGTGACGATAGAAGCCAAAAAGAGAGCTGTTTTGTTAACAGTCATAGGGCCTCAACAATTTAGGCTATTAAAGGACTTATGCGCACCAGCTAGTCCAGCTACCAAGTGCTTTAACGAGCTGAGCAAACTGCTAACAGACCACCATGCGCCCGCACCACCCAAGTTCCTGTGTAGAGCCAGATTTGACGGTAGGACTCGTCAACCAAACGAATCAATATCAGAATATGTTGCTGCTTTACATCATCTAAGTGAATTCTGTGAATTCGGGGACACGCTGTCTGACAGACTATGTGAAAAGTTTGTGACAGGTGTAAACAGCCCTGATGTTCAAAGAAAGTTGCTTCTCGAGTCAGATCTAACTTTGGAAAAAGCAATACAACTCGCAACTTCATTCCAGCAGTCATCCGATGTAGCCAGATCGCTGGCGCCCTCAGGGATCCATGCAGTAGACAGCAGGTTAGTCAACAAACACCAACCCCATCAGAGCAGTTCAAGTTATGCTAAACAGCCTGCAAGTTCAAATCCTAGATCTAAATCTAGTAATAATTGTCAAAAATGTCATCGATGCAACGGTCCCCATGCATCTCATCGATGCAAGTTCAAGTCAGCAACTTGCTATAAGAGCAGTAAGCAAGGTCACATTGCCAAGGCCTGCTTTGCAAAGTCTTCGTCTGTTGCTAGATCTAGCCAGTCAAGACAGTACCGCAACCAAAGGCAGCACTATGTTAACTGTCACCAAGACAACCTAACCCAACCAATGAACCATTCTACCTGTGAAAATGCTCAAACTGATCCGCAGCCAAAGTTCAACCTGTTCTCTGCGAAATCAATAAGTCATGCTCCCATCAATGTACTAGTTTGTATCAACGGTAAGAGCAACATCTTCCAACTTGACACGGGAGCATCTCTAACCGTCATCACAAAGAAGGACTTTGACGCTGTCACAGGAGGATCAGTGCCTCTACAACCATGTCACAAGTGCCTAACAACATACACAGGTGACAATGTTCCGGTGATAGGAGAGTGTATGGTTCATATAAGCTATAATGGTCAAAGTGTTAAACTTCCTCTTCTTGTGGTTGAAGGAAATGGACTACCATTACTAGGTAGGAACTGGTTAGTTGATCTTAAGTTAGACTGGGGGAGTATATTTTCAGTGAACAAAGCAAGAGAATCTAGTTTTACTTCAATAGATAAAGTTATATCTGAAAATGAAGGTGTCTTTGGTAGTTCAGGATTACTAAATGATAGGACAGTGAAGATAAGCATTAAAGACACAACTCTAAGATACTGCAAAGCTAGAGTTCCACCTTATGCAATGAGGGATAAAATTGAAAATGAGCTAAGTAGATTGGAATCTAATGGCATCATAAAGAAGGTAGACTATTCCGATTGGGCAACGCCCATTGTGCCAGTGTTAAAGAAGGATGGTTCTGTAAGAATTTGTGGAGACTGAATAAGCAAATAGAGCTAAATAGGTACCCTATTCCTAACATTGAGGAAATTGCTTTGAATTTTGCAGGAGGAGACAAATTCACTGAATTAGACTTAAGTCATGCTTACACTCAACTAGAACTTCATCCAGATTCAAAAGTCTATACGACAATAAACACACATAAGGGATTCTACCTATATGAAAGACTATGTTTTGGTATATCATCTAGAACTGGAATTTTCCAGGCCGTCATGGACAGTATTTTTCAGGACATTCCAAACGTTTGTGTTTACTTTGACAATGTGTACATAACTGGTAAGAATGACACTGAACATCTTAAAACACTTGATAAAGTCTTGAAAATAGTTGGTGAAAAGGGTTTAAAGATAAACAAAGATAAATGTCAATTCATGCTGACAGATATTAGTTTTCTTGTTTATAGTTTGAGCAGACAGGGTCTCAGACCTCAACCTGAGAAAACAAAAGCCATTAAAGAAGCACTGTACAAGCTGCTATAGAAAAATGCAACTTGGCACTGGGGTAAACAGGAAGATGCTGCTTTTAATGCAGCAAAAGAAGTTTTGTCTTCTGACACTTTGCTAACTCACTATGACCCAGGGAAAACACTTATTTTAACATGTGATGCTTCACCAGATGGTGTAGGAGCAGTTTTATCCCACATAGATGAAAATGGTGACAGACCCATTGCTTTTGCCAGTAGATCTTTGAACCAGGCTGAGAAAAATTATTCTCAGTTAGATAGGGAAGGCTTAGGCATCATTTTTGGTGTTAAGAAATTTCACAAGTTTCTGTTTGGTAGGGAGTTCACCATCTTTACAGATCATAAGCCATTGCTGGGTTTGTTTGGGGAAAAGAAACCCCTGTCTGAGCATGCCTCACCAAGGGTTCAAAGGTGGTTTATCACACTAGCCGCATACAATTATGAATTGAAATACAAACGTGGATCTGAGAATAGTGCAGAACATTCAAATCAACCAGCTACAGCACCTTTGCAAAACTGGGAATGGCCAATCGAACCATGGATACGTATCCATATAGATTTTGCAGGACCCTTCATGAACAAAATGTTCTTATTTGTTATTGATTCACATTCTAAGTGGTTAAAAGTTAAAATCATGAACACAATCACTGCAAGTGATAACATTATTGAACTTAAGGAAATATTTTCAACTCATGGATTACCTGATCAAATTGTTTCAGATAATGGGCCTAGTTTCACTGCTCATGAGTTTAAACTGTTTTGTGTAGCAAATAGTATTGAGCATATAACCACATCACCCTATCACCCTGATGGGAATGGTTTGGCTGAAAGAGCGGTAGGTATATTCAAAACCGCTATGGTAAAAATGGGTACCGGTAACAAGTTTTCTCTCAGGGAAAGAGTAAACAGGTTCTTAGCCAAATACCGCACAACTCCTCATATAACAACAGGTGTTGCACCATGCGAATTGCTGTGTGGTAGGAAAATTAAAACTCACCTTGACCTACTACATCCAACTGTTCAAAGGTCTGTTTCCCAACATCAACATACACAAAAAGTAAATCATGAAAAAACAAACATTGAAAGAGAAATTGGAGTTAATGATAATGTATATCTGAGAAATTATGGGAGAGGTGAAAAATGGATGCCAGGTCAAATTGTTCAAGGTACAGGACCTGTGTCTTATAAAGTAAAAACAAATGATGGACTTATTGTCCGTAGACATGCAGACCAGTTAAAAATAACTTGTGCAGATAATAAGTGTGAATCTGTCAATCCCACCAAATCTGACCAGTTCACACCAACTCAGTTTGTTTCACAACCAAGTTCTGTTGATATGAGTGAACCAAGTACTCTAGAGTCAGAAAATGTAAATTCTGGAATTAATGATTTTGATCCAGGACTTCCTGAGCTAGAGAGTCCAGATGGTCAGAATCTTGAGTCACCAAATCAAAAGCCACTGAGAAGGTCAAACAGGACAATCAAAGTCCCAGATAAGTTAGACCTATGATTTTAAAGGTCAAGAGGACTTTGACATCATTGTTTTGTATTTTAATTATGTTGTAGTATATTTTGCATTTGTTTGTAAGGGTGTAATCTACCAAATGATTCAAATCATATAATGTTCATGTTACAATATATTTGGTGATTTTAGGATACTATCATTTGTTCTAATAGGGGTCGGCGTGGTCGAGTCGGTAAAGCTCATGGTTGCTAAACCGAAAAGTCACGAGTTCGAACCCTCGGGCAGATGAGGCTCGTTAGCTGGGGACAGCCACTCTTCTAGGGGAGACAACTCCAAAATTAAACAACTGCTGCCTTGTAGTTTGTTCTTGGTTGGACAAAGGCTATGGAAGCAAATCCAAAAAGAAAAGCAGGCTGAAATCTGAGTCAATGGCCTCAATGGCGCAAAACCAGTTGACACGTAACGCTTAATTGTGTTGGAGGCGTGGTCGAGTCGGCAAAAAGCTCATGGTTGATAAAATTCGAGCAAAGTCTCGAGTTCAAACCCACTGGCAGATAAATCTCGATCCCCTTCAACACTAATAATTAAGAACGAAGAAGAAGAAGATTTGTTCTATTGAGAGCTGTGTTGTTGTTTACTAAGGGTAAAGGGATGTAATATATTGAGAATTGTGAAGTCAAGGGAACTCACTCTTCTTGTATTAGTCTTATATTTATATTGTTGTTTTGAGTGATATCACTTGTATGTCATGTGTCTTTCGGGTAGCTGAATAAAGTCTAGATACATCAACATGGCTTTATCGTCCAGTGTATCGTTATAGAAACAACAATCTATTACAATTTGTTATAAAACAACTTGTAGATATACCCATTGGGTCAGTAACTTGGCCATCCGAAGTATAGAACACACAGGAGCAGCTAAAATGGATATCAAGGAACTTATTAATCATTTTGGAAAGTTAAAAGCATAAAAAAAATATCTAACTAAATCATGAGCAATTTTTTTAAAAAATGTGTTTGGTTAGTGGCGTCACAAGGTCGGTTACCCTACGCGTTAACTAAAGGTGTCACCCCATCGTCCCCAACAACGCTTTCGATGAGGTGTCACCCCTCTCTCGTTTATCTTTTATTACTTAGCTGGATATAACATATTTTGGACGGTAAATATTACAGTGTTTGGTCATGGTGTCATCCGATGTGGACCGCACCTCTGCACCCGCCTAGAGTTTTTGAATTTAAAAAGAAAATTATTCCTCAAGTACTTGACAGGGCCTGACGGTTTGTTAGACATTTGCACTGCTTTTATAATAAGCAC